CTCCCAGTCCCTCCCAGTGCTCCCAGTCTCACCAGCTGCCCGGCCAGCAGTGGCATGTACTCGATGATGGCCAGGCGCACCCTCCACTTGGCGTCCTCGGCCAGCTCCACGATGGCGGGCAGCAGGGACTGGGACAGCTGCCGGATCCCGATCACCTCGTTCACGCAGTCCAGGTTGGAGATGATGTTCAGCCGCACCTCGGGGCACTGGGACACACCGGGGGTCACTGGGGGGCTCTGGGAGGGGCGGCCGGCCCTGCACGGGGGTACTGGGAGGGACTGGGGGGGTTACTGGGAGCAGGTGGCAGCGGGTGGCACCTCCCCAGGTGTGCCCAGGTGTGCCCAGGTGTGTCACCTCGTCCTTGAGCTGTGCCAGGAACAGGGGCAGCAGGTGCTCCACCGTGTTGTCCTTGCCCAGGATCGGGGACAGCCCCATGATCACCGAGGCCAGCGCCGACTTCACGTGCTGGTTGGCGTCGGACACCAGCTCCTGGGACGGGGGGACAGGTGAGCACAGGTGGGACAGGGGGGACAGGTGGGGACACACCGACACCCGAGGGCACCCCCACGAGGCCTGAGGCCACCGGGAGGTGCCAAAAGGTGTCCCCAGATGTCCCATGTGTCCCAGGTGCCCCCAGGTGTGTCCCAGGTGCCCCCAGGTGCCCCCGTGCCTCACCTTGATGCAGGGCAGGATCTGGCCCATGATCACGGCCTCGCGACAGTCCGGGGACAGGTTCTCACAGAACTCTGGGGACACAGAGGGGACATTATGGGGGCATCAGGGGGGTTTAGGGACATTTAGAAGTGTGACGGGGATTTGAGGACATTCAGAGACGGCAACACACGGATTTGGGACCGTTTTGGGGTGGTGACAGGTGGATTTGATGACCTAGGGGATGGTGACAGATGGATCAGGGGACACTCTGGGGTGGTGACAGACAGATCAGGGGACACTCTGGGGTGGCGACAGATAGATTTGAGGACACTCTGGGGTGGTGACAGACGGCTTTGGGGCCGTGCCGGGGTCCCCGCTGACCTTTGACCTTGTGTGAGGCCGCCGCCCGCACCTCGGCCTCGCAGTCCTTCATCAGGCTCTGGAAGGCGCCCACCAGGTCGGTCTTGGTGATCTCGGGCCCCACCGCGCGCTGGAGCTGCGGGGACACGGTGCCACTGTCCCCACGTGTCCCTGAGGGTCCCCACGTGTCCCTGAGGGGTCCCTGCACAAACATCCCCCCAAACTTCCCCCCGACCCCCCCGGGGGTGCCCCCACCTCGGTGAACTTGTCGGCCACCATGTACCGCACGCGCCAGGACTTGTCCTCGGCCGCCTGGCGCAGGGTGGGCATCACCAGCCCCTCCAGCTCCTCCTGCGGCAGCAGCTGCGCGATGCTCACACAGGCCTCGACCGCCAGCAGGCGCACGGAGTCCTGCGGGCACGGGGGACAGGGGGACAGGGGAGGGACAGGTGAGCCCCAGGCACCCGTATGTGCCCACAGCTGCCCCCCCAGGTACCTGTATGTGCCCACAGCTGCCCCCCTGGGTACCTGTATGTGCCCACAGCTGCCCCCAGGTACTTGCAGGTACCCACAGTGCCCCCCAGGTGTGCCCAGGTGTCCCTGAGGTACCC